TTTTTTCGAAAATCGATAAAAATGATTTTTTCTGAATAGCCTCGCGAAAACTCGTGAGTTCTGAGTAGCGGACCTCTCCATTAGCCCGAAAAAATTTGGAATTCAATTGAGAGATGAAAATAATTTTTTTTTCAAAAATCGATGAAAATTCATTTTTTTCGAAAATCGATGAAAATATTTTTTTTTCCAAAATCGTTGAAAATACATTTTTTCGTGGAAAATCTCGGAAAAACTCGTGAGTTCTGAGTAGCGGATCCCTTTATTAGTTCAAAAAAGAATTGAATATCTTCCATACTGAAAATTTTGGGGAAATCTCACGAGTTCCAAGTAGTCTACCCCTCTATCACATCAGTATGAGAACAAAGAAAATTTATTCCGTGCAAATTTTCATGTCTGGAATTTTGAAAATGCCATTCTTCCTTTGTAAAGATGTGAGGGTGAAAAGGAGTTTGCTGCGATCCCAGGGACCCGCATCCATCCAATCAGCGCGATCCTCTCGTTGCATGGAGGTACGACATTCTATACGGGTTTCGGAAATGCTCGATTTTTCGGGTCAGCTTGTCTTTTTTTCGATTATTTATTTATTTTTTCCTCTCAATCCCTCGGTATGAATGCACACGGAACTTTTCATTCGGGGGTCTATAACTTTTTCTCCACCCTCTATATATCCGAGGGGGTGATTTTCTGGCGCATTTTACAGGCAAACCCAGTCGACAAGCTTCGAACCCACTGTGTCACACGTATTCCCCAAGGATAGGACTAGACGGGTGGATGTTACCGTTTCAATTCGTCTCCCTTCGTCAGGTGTGTGCGTGCACTCGTGGAAAATTACTCCGGGAATTTACAGTGGAAAAACTTGTATTTTTTTATAATGCGGAGTTTACGTGGCATTTAAGGCAGGGAAATTCTTATTAAAATTGATCATTTGAGGGAAAATCGAGCGGAAAATATTCACGTAATTTTTTCACGATTTTATATTGACAGGAGATATTCGGGAATATTTTTCGGAGCTATCATTTTATTGGGAATAAGTGTCAATAAATATGGAATTTAATTACGAACATTACAGTTAAAATATAAAATTCGTATATGTCGAATTAAAATAAAAATTGACATGATTGGGTAGATAAATTTCCTCTGGATTTTCTCGTAAAAAATGATATTCGGATGGGAAAATCTGTGAGACCAATTCAATTCAATTATTGCTAGTAAATCCATGAAAAATCAATTTTTCATTCCAATTGAATTGAATTGAAGTGAAATTTTGTTTTCCAACGTCAAGAAATATTGAAAATTTCTAGTGGTAAGAGATAAAATTGGAAAAACTTTTTCCGTTGGGTGACTAGTTTATTCGTTTTCGTTTGACTTGGCCCTGAGTTCGTGAAATTGAGAATGCAAACGTTAGCATCCACCCAACGAGAGTGCGTCTCGTCAATTTACGAGTAGAGTACACTCCGGCGAGTTACCATACACTCCATATCTATATGACAGGAAAAATGAAAAAGAAATGTGAGGAAGATGAACGGAGATAGTTTTCTACGAGCCCAACCAGCTCGGTACGATTTGATTTTTTTTTGTATTTTTATTTTTTCCAAATCACCAGTTCCACTCTCACCGATATCCAACTATCAATCATGGATTGGCCGTTGATGTTTTTTCCATTTCAACAGTTCTGTTACGGCATGAATTTACATTCTGTTAAATGCATATATTCTCGCAAATTGCTCTCACGCTTGTCCAATAAAAATATTTGCCCCTGCCGATTCGTCAGCATAAAAAGAAACTAAAAATTCGAGTGAATAAAAGTCGTAAAATCTCAAAAAATATACAAACAATTCGCACTCATTTGTTTCAGGCCAATAAATTCAATCCCCGTAACAGTCTCAATGAAATTCTCATTTTCCGCCTCATAGAACAATGAAAATGCCTGAAAGTAATGAAAATTCATATAATTATCCAAATTCTCAATCTGCAAAAAGTCCAAGTTCATTTTCCATTCAATTTTCCTAATGAGGTTTGAAATTTATTTTTTCATTAAAAAAAAAAACTACGTTAAATATATTTAAGACAAATAGGATATATTCAACATCGGTGAATAATTTTTCCTCAATGGCGAATTCCCCAGGGACATGGGATGGGTATACCGGAAATTGAAAAAATTTCCACCAGTGTTAAAAAAACGAATGATAAAATGCCCGTCTGAAAATAAAAATCTACCCGTGAATAATCCAGGAAGGCTTTGATCAAAGATACTCCCTTGATAAGCAACAGAAACCCGCACCGAGATATTTTTCTTTCATAAATATTTGATGAGAGCCGTAACGAAGCATTACGAGTCTGATGACCTTGAGTAAAATTCCACCGACGTAACTAAACCACGAGCCAATTGAGTAACATAAATAAGATCCCTCGTGTGCCTCGAGGCAGACCATCCCACCCCATTGCATACTCCTTTATTTTTTCACTCCACCTCGACGTAAAAGAAGATGAAGGAAAAAAAAAATAAAAGGCGACAGAAATTTCTCGTTTCACTCCCGACAATATGTACCAATCAGTTATTTAGATTCACCTCATAGCTGCACCCGGTGATTGTCCGGGAGAGTAAATTTTCCGCGGTAAATTTTTCATTTTTATCTCCACACCCCTGCCCCCTGCCCCCAGCCCCATCCCTCCCACCCTGTAAATCCCCCCAAAAATTATAACTTAATGAATAGAACACTTACAGCATTCGCAGTGTTGGTTGAAGCTTGTCTGAGAAAAGTACAATCGGGGGATCAAAACGTGCATTAGATCCGCAAACACGTGCACCACCCTCCAATTGCAGCCATCCACCCTCACACCTGAAATGATAATGAGTTAGGATGAGACAATTTGAATATAAATTGAGGGACATGTAATTGACGTATCAGTGGGTTTTATGGGAATTTTGGGGTGGTGGTTGGCCATTGTTATCAGTGACCAGGACAACTTCTCACTGGACACGACTTGACTCGCAGTTGAGACTCATCCTCTCGATGTACCCTCTCCTAACTCCCCCTTCTCTCATTGTCCAACCCAGTAATGCCGACTAGAGGCTTTGAATTAATTGCGCGAGTTCGCTGGTCGAGCTATGGCCCAGACTCTGGCACCCCCGGTGTTTCGCTTTCGAATCTAATTTGCGGTGACAATTCACCTAGTCGGTTTATTTCTCCACCCTCTATCTTACTTGTCGGTGGAAAACAAGGGAATTTGATTATTTCCGGTGGAATTTCAGAATTTACGACTTCTCACTATTGGAAAAATTCTTGGGATATTTTTATTGAATTTCTGGTTATTTATACCAGCACTTTTAATTACCGATAAATTGGTAATTCCGTAAAATTTCACTCATTTTCCGAAGTTTTTTCTCGTTGGCAATTTTTACCCTTGATTTCGTTTATTTTTCCTTCATCACGGTGAGATTACTCGCATTAATCATTCAGGATTGAGCCGTAAAAACTCATCAGTCGAGAGATCAGGGACATAATCTCCTATCCTGATTGTTTGATGCCTCAATTATTCCCGGTAGCTTGAGCGTGAAGCTGAGGTGAAATGACTCGCTGCTCTCATGATAAACCGTACAGAGTAAATTTATTCTTACGGCATTACCACCAGCAACCAGCTGAAGATTGAATATAGATAGTAACGAGTAGTATAGATCAACGTATGATTCACCGTAAAATTTGACTTGATAAAGTTGAAACGGGGGGTATTAGAAAATCATGAATATCCAGAGATAGGATAAGCAGAAAAGCCCTCGGTGTTGATTCACCAGAGCATCAAATACCATCAGGTGTAATCTCACGAGTTGCCACACGGGAATGTGGTAATTACCCCAGCTCAGAGAATTCCATAGGAATTGGTGATGTATAACTGTGAATTAGTATTCAATTCACCTCGGTACCGGCTTCCGTGTCCGTCTATCCACCTCCATCTCGATCCATACGAACAACATCACTCGGTAATTCAGTGGGAAACCGAGAAGCTTCTAAGATCGTTCATCGCAATTTGCATCACCTCACAATCTATTCGGTTGAATGGCGATAATTGGTAAGATCACTCTCTCGAGTGGAAAATCGAATGGACCATTAAAATCGGCGGGTGGGTGGGGAGTGGGGATGATGCTTGGGGATGTTGAATACTCGGTGAAGGGTATTTCATTATGATGAGATCGTATTCAAGGTTTAATTTATGAGATGATTGAGGGCAAATTAATACGAAACCCCCGGGGATTTTCCACAATGCGCTGTGTAGGCGATCCCTTTATTTTTTCGCATGACAAAATTCACATTCAAATTTTTTCATCGTAATCATCGGTTTTTGAAATTTATTTGTACGGAATTTTCTTATAATTTTTAGCATTTCTTGTAATTTCAGTCACGAATTTATCTGAATTTTCAATTATATCAGTTCGAATGGAATTTTAATTAAAATCGCTCCCTAAATTTCGGGTTTATCCTGAAAATTAGAGGAAGCTAAATGTTTAATCGTAGATTATAATTGAATTTTCAGTGAAAATCCACAAAGAGTTAGCGCGAAGGTCATTAATTTTGCAGAAATTTTCTGGCGTTGAGATCCATCAAAATTCATCAGGCAGATAATTCCAATAATGGCGGTCAGAGACTAGCGATGTATTCCCGTATATTTGTATATAGAAGGACTTTAACGTTGTCCATCATCTTTTATAGACGGTAAAACCGGTGAATGTAGTGGAAAATAGTTCTTGACTTTATATTGAAACGGTAGAAGTTGAAATTGATGAATGAATAACGATGTTATCACCGGGCAAAGAATATAACAGTGACTTGAGGGACTCGGAAGTACCACTCGGAGAATATTTGCTGAGAAAGGGAGAATGAGAAAAGCCAGTGACGGGTTGGACCCTCAGTACTGGGGGTGTTAAATAATCGAGTCGCTGAGGGAACTGGTGAACAACTACATCATCAAGTCGAATGGCAACGAAAAGCCCAGCGGTTTTCCGCGATATATATTCCCCTGATTTATCGCTGTTATTTCGCGCCAGAACTCACCTGACGGTTTAAATAAGAACAATCTTTTGTCCATAACCCTGTTAAGTTCAAAATCGCTGATAAATTATTGGCCACCAATTTTGGAATGATTCTCTGAGTGATATATTATAATGCCAGATCTGTCCCACGGAAATTATACCAACATTGAATAATCATTTTCGGGGAAGATTGGGGGAGGTGTCACACATCAATTTTCAAACATCCCTCTCTCATCCAACCACAATATGTTAGTCGGTGTATAACGTGAATGGCGACACGATAGAAGTTTATCGCAGCACGTGCTTTGTATCGACTCTGGATAATCCGATAATATATTGTCCCTTGATGGTTTTAGTGTTACGATACTGGGAATAATCTTACGGATAATGCACTAAATTTTCGTCCTGATGGTACTCCGGAAGAGTTGCGAGAGGATTTTATGAAATTTTATTCGCAAAAACCAATTTCACTGATTTGAAAAATATTTCTCATTCTCAAGAAAAATTATAATCTGAGACACGGAAAAATCTATACTTTTATTTTTAGTAAATATAAGTGAGTTTTAATTTACCTCGACTTCTTAATTCAAAAGGAATACATTTTCCACAATAACTTCTAATTAACTGTATAAATAACCGAGCTTCAGAATTATTCTTTGCAGACTTGGCCTGAAATTTTTCTATGCCAAGTGGAAGAGTTGTTCATTCCTAGAATCTCATGCTCATTAATTTTCATGAAATTATAATGACGGAGGAAAAATAACAAAATAATAATCCACTGCACAGATAAAAATATTTTCAAAAATTGGTCTTGAGGTCAAAATGGTATAGCATCAATAAAAAATTCCAATTAATCCCCAAAATCTCCGGTTTAGTTTCTCCCAAAAAATATGTACCGCGTGAATTATGTTAATTATTTATCTACGGATTGTCCTGGCGCCTCGTCACGTATTAATTGAATAATCTAAAAAGGATAAATAAGTTGACAAGGTTTAATGGAGTAGGGATTTCATCAGGAGGTTAATGCGAGGTCTGTACGTATATTCGGTCTAATAAATAATGACCTGGCTTGCCAGCCCATTGTGTTTGGTCCGTCCCACACCGGCTGCTCGTAAAATCGCCGCGGATTCGCAGCTGTGGACTGCATTATTTACCCGGGGAAATAGTACTATGGAGAACCCAAGTGAAAGCACTTCCCTCCTCTTCACTTTCCTCATCTCACCCAATGCCAGAAGGGCTTTCACCAGCTATCGCCTCTCTGCGATTAATTTCTTCGCGACATACCACCCCATTCGCACCCTCATATCTACCAGTCCACTACCATCAAAACCATTCTTCCAACCACCGCATGTACACGAGCATTAACTTGCTAAATTCAATGTGAAACTTTCCAAATGAACTTTCTTGTTATCCGCGATGTAAACAATTATGAATATAAATTTTGCACTCTGGCGTTTCATTGTTCGCGTTTGCAATCGAATTATCTTTGAGCGACGATTCTCCGGGGAAAAGTTTCTAGTTTCAATTAAACAAGTGGTCTGTCCCCTTATTGTTTATTCTGAATATTTCGAGGGATGACGATGACTATTTAATTGTAAATCTGATATTGAGCTGAAAAAATGAGAATTTGAAATTGAATTTCATGGGTTGGGGGGGAGAAATTAAAAAATAGAGGCTGGTGTATAATTTTTATTTGATTATTGAGAATTATCACTTGAATTTGGTAAGGGTATTTCACCCCTCGGTGGATTGATCTCTAGGAGCTGTTATTCATTCGCATGTACTCAATATTTGACGAGCAGTCGATCCTGAATTTTTCAAATTGTATGGCACTACTTCGGAATACAAATTGTATCCTCTTCAAGTTTTTATGCATTTCGGGTGTGGGTGGAAAATTGTTGGAAAAGGTCCTTGTGAATTTAGGGATATCGACTCTCTTAAATTTCGGTTTTTACTGCTAGTGCATGAGCACGAAACAGAGGTATGTGTACCATCCAGCAACGGGAAAATGAAAAATGAATATATTGTTATGATGATTGAAAAGATGAGAAGATAGGTTTATACCGTACAGAGTTATTTCAATTTGTGCAGCTCAATATTTTCCTGATGGAGTTTTAATTGACCATAAAAATTAAATGAAAGATACAAATGACATTTTTTTTATTCAAATCGTTCAACTAATCTCGATACACTGGTGAAAACGGATGGAATACAAATCTCAATTCAATCATTCGGACGGTAATAGAGGGAATTAATTGGAAATGTCCGGGAAATTTCAATTTTCTTTTTGGACAATTTCATCAGTAAAATTGAATGGGGAAAATGAGGGGATGGGAGGAACTGATGGAGCGAAATAAATACTTGCTTTTCGTTAATATGTCGTCCGATTGAGACTAGTCGATAAATCTGCAGTTCGACTCGTTGTCCCGTATCTGGGATGAATTTATAGGTGCACTCAGTGGGTCCCCCTGTCGATGGGGATTTTATCTGTCCAAAGCTTCTGTTCGATTTGCTCAGCAGTTCCTTACTGTCTAGCGTTATATTGCACACTGAAAAAATAAACAATAAATTATGAAAAATTAAATATTGCTGCTCATATTAATTCCGTGATTGCACTCGAGCTTCCAGATCGATTCCCATCGACATTATTTCATCCCCGGTTTAATTGAATAATCTATTTCCTGTAAATCCCCGGTCTTCCCAATATCATTTAACTGGATACTAATTCTCCCTCGCATCAACAACCGAAATAGATTTTCATTCTATGTATTTAAAAAATCAGTAGTTCGCTGATTATTAAATAAATTTTTAATTCTCTTACCGGTTCAGAAAATTATCATCCTTAATTATCAATCTATGGGAATTGCAGTGGAATTTAATATGAGATTAAATTAATTACTCGCTCGGTGGACATTCCAATTATTTAATTTCATGTTTCATTGGGAATTTGTAAAGAGTTGATGGGTTCGATGTTTGAGTGCTTGGGTGAATTAAATTATGGCGTTCTGGTGGTTCGGGCTAAATTTAATACGCGTTATGGGAATAAAGTCTCGGTGAGAGATCGGTGAGAGATCGGTGAGAGATCGGTGAGAGATCGGTGAGACTTGTAGGACAAACTTTGAGAGGAAAATGGTTTTCTATTCTTCGAGTTATATGGGAGGGACTTGGTTCAGCCAAGTGCCACACCAACTTTTGTATCTCAGTTTAGAATCACTATGGAGAAAGGAGTCCTCAAGACTGGGACAAAAGATGAGACGATGGAGTAGAGGGTACGGTATCGCAATGAGTTTAGAGACTTTCGTGTATTTCGGTGGCAGTTCTCTTTGGGGACAAAGCGAAAATCCTTGAGTGTTTTAGAGAGGTGTCATCTCATTGTTCCAGGTGCCATTATCGAACTGTTGAATTCGTTGATTAGAATTTCAAAATCTCGAAGGTATTTAATTAAATTTGTGACGGAGAGGGAAGATATCTTTGATTTGTGTGTAAGTGGAAACGGTCGTCCTAGTCAGACCGAAAATTTAGTCTCACCATTGAGGACTCATTGCCGATATATATTTCCATTGTTCAGGTTTTCAATGAAAAAAAAATAATTCGACAATGACATCGGCAATGACTCCTTAAATCAAACTTGAAAAAATAATTTTCAATCTCAGCGAGTATTTGACGTAAAATAGTAAAAACTATTCGATCCCTGTTTTTTCCTTTCCGTTGGATACAAAAAAATTTTGATATCGGTGTTCCTCCTTAAATAACTGAATAACAAAGCAAACAGGTACTCACTGTTTGTGCAGTACTTCTCCAAGCCGCACTGGCCACAGCGTTTCGGCATTGCAGCCCCACAACTGCAGCCCCCCGTTAAAACACAGCAAGCGCAATCCTTGCTCGATGAATTAAAGCTGCAGGTACACCCCGTCTCGCTCTGGGTCCAGAAATCCACTTGACCTGCAATAAAAAATCCAAGCGATGAAAAAAAAAAAAAAAAGAAACCCCCGTGCAATACCACTTGATTTTCACCATAACATGTACCGATATTTCTTTGAAAAACACCTAGTGAAATACCCCAGACCAGGAGATACGATGGTGATTTCAGCCAATTGCCATTCGTCCATTCAAATTGTTCATCTTCCCACGAAATCCATTCGGTCCCCCTACCCCATTCCCCTTTTGTCCCCGAGATTTGCCAACGAAGTAGATTTCAGGTCGACGCCCGGGCGATTTCACTATCCCCCGGAGTTTTCACAATGAACTAGAAAAATACACACGTGCTTTCATACCCTCGAACCACCCTAACCCCTCATGGTATATCTCGTACTCGCATCCATTACGTGTTCGCGCGCTCTTTCGCAATGGTTCAACAAAAAAAGCTTGGCCCAGGGGTGAAGGGGACGGGGGTGATAAAAAATAGATGAAAAAAAAAAAGACGAATGCACTGCGATAACGGGAGAATAAAAAGTGCAACCGCAGCACTCAGGCGATTTTATTGTTCTCCGTTATTCGATTGACTGAATTTTTTATTATTATTTTTTTTTTTTCCCCATCGCATGTTTTTCTTTTCACGAATATTTATAAACAGAACAATGTTATCTCCAAAAGACCGTTCCACTGTCGGTTTATCCCGCGGATTTTTTTTCTTTTTTTCAGTTTTTAAAATATTTTTTTCTTCTTTTTGCGGCTATTGCACCGGAAATTGAGGGATTGCTTGGGTTAATCATCAATTTATTAGATTGAATAAGCCCATTGTACCGTGAACGGAGACGGATAAAAAAAAATGAATGGATGGAGGTTTTCTCCTCTCGCATTGGCCTTTTTTAAGACGATAGCCGCTGGGATAATCCGACCGTCCCGTACCTTCAATTGGATTCGTAATCCATCGATTCGAGGAAAGGGGGGCTCGATTTTGTGGGTGTGGGTTTGTTTTAAGAGTGTGGAGAGATGGCGATATCACTCTTGGGTATAAAAAAAAAAGGACGTCTATGGAGGTACGAAAATGGGGTATGTGGGGGCTGCAGATGGCTCATTCCGGAAACTTTCAAGGGGCAAACAAAAGTCCGCGATCGCTTTTCTCGTGGATTTTCCTTTTTATTTAACTCGGGGACTTTTTCTCAGTTATCCACACCGCACGGATCCCAGGTCTGGCGAGGGGCAGTGATCTTTTTCCGTTTTCTATGTGGTTTTCTAAAATCATTTGGTCCTCATTCACGACGATCTGGGGACACCCGAATCCCGGGGAACGAATCGAACGAATTGATTTGTTCCATTTCAAGGCGGCTTGATTAAATACCTTATCCGAGTGATTGAATTTGGGATAAAGATACCTCGAAATCGGTAGAAGAGAAATTCTTTGGAAATATTTTAGTGGCGGTGATGGAAGTATCGATTTATCGCAGCACTGGGAATTTTTTTTTCGCTCGAGAAAAGAATATTCGAGTATTATCAGTAATGCCGATCCATCGCGGAAAAAAATTTCAATGCCCTCCATGAAACCTACGTAATCTCCAATTTTAACTCGATCAATAATATTTCCGTGATATTTAATTTTATTGAACTCGACGATATTCAACCGAGCATTTCCATACTGCACAAACAGGATTTAATTAATAGCCATGGATAATTTCCCCCGAAATATCCCATAAAAATATTCTCGGCATTATCGAACATCACGGTACGATGCGATAATGAGATGATAAAAATGACAGTAAATAATGATTTCCCGTTTAGCTCGTAATAATTCTCCAAGTATATAGCCGACATTGAGGGGTGAAATTAGTCAATCGGCTCACGCAGACAAAATTTTTGATTTCCTCTCCATTCATATAGGGAATATATGTTGTCATAGACCAGCACTAGATGTTTTCCCAGTGGTATACACCATCGATGAATTTATGTATGCGCATTCACATTCGATAGGCGTGTCGATTGACGAGGTGTTTTCGGTTTTATGCCGGTTTCCCGGTCACTGTGCTGCTTGGCATTCCAACCGTATCTCCATACATTTGCACTTTAATTGGCTCTGTACTATATCTGCACCCTCTTCCCTCCCTCCCCCCTCTGTATTTTCCCTCTCACACCTTCCGTCTACCGGGTGCGTCCCATCAACGTACCTCAGTCAACCCCTTCTACCCTCGATCCCTACATAAATATGTATGCAATGGCTGTATATACACTCGTGCATACATCTCGTTGCTAGTACAACATAACCATTTTCCTGGTTACTCGCTTCTCCAACAAACCGGAAATAACATTTTTTACGCGGTTTAAATTGCTTTTTTTTTTGTCTTTCGGCGATTTCTTTCGGGAGAAATCAGAGCCTCGGGGGCAGTCGATTTTCCTCGTCCCTCGTATATTTTTTTTACATATATATATATATTTTTTTCAATTGCAGGGAGTAATTTGGGGGGTTTTCTTTAATTAATTGAATTTCTATGAATATTGCGATTAAAAATTCATGATTTCGTGATGAAATCTGGAATCGGTAACTGAACGTGCAATTATTTCGAAAAATTTTAAAAACTTCAATTGCGCGCAGTCAGCTGGTAATTATGACTGCTGTCAGATATTTATTAGTGGATGGCCAGGGGGTGAGGGGAAAGGATCAATGCGATATCTCATGAGGGATCGGGTTCAAATAGCACATGGCAAGACGTGATCGCGTTGTGGGTTATAATTGCAGATCCAGTGGACTATATACGATCGGTGGGATTTCACGGGAGAATAGAATACTCTGGCATCGATCTTACTCTTCCCCGAGGAGTACATGCACCTCCGTTACATGGAGTACTGGTAACTTTGGCCTGGTGGAGCAATTCCCCGGCACTCGCATGACTGATCGCCCCATTCTCATGTACATGTTTCAAGTTCAGGTGTCAATAGAGAAAAGAGTAAAAATACTTTTTACCCCCAGGAAAAATTCGACAACTCCCGAAATTCTTTGATGGCTTTAGATTTTCCGATAATTTTCTTTTTTCTACGACGTTCTCATGGGAATTTTTATTTTTAAGCGACACGCGGAAAATAAGAAATGTTTGCCCTCCGGGAATATCAATTATTAGTACCTGGCGATAAATTTGGGTTTGGAATCGATTGTTTGGGGGGAAGTAATTGGAATTTTTTGAATCGGGATAAAAACTAGATCATTATCTCGTTCAGCTTGTGGCCTAGATGCAAAAATTGTAAAATCGACGTGCATCCGGTTATCGTTCACTACTGCAATGATTTTTTCTCGTTCGCTCAGTCTGTAAAATCGGCTCGTTGAATTTTTGGCACAAACTCCCTCGCGATTTATTTTTTCGAATATTTCCGAACGGGTCAATGTCCTTTTCCTTGAATCGGTCTCGGAACATTCGATTTCTTTCGCATGAATAATTCCCCAATAATTACCCGCAAATTCCACATTAAAATAAAAAAATAAAACATGCGAAATCATAATTTGTTATTAGCACTGCAGTTTCGTGATTTTAATTGACAATTAATTTATCTGTGGAAATCGAATTAAAGGTGAAATATATTCGGAATATAATGGGTATTGTTGAATGAAGTATAAATAGTACTAAATCCATTTGTTTTTTTTTTTCCTCGTGTTCTGAAACATTTGGTTCACACCGGGTGTTCCCATGGTACATCTCCACCTAATGCACTCGGTAGTAAAAACACTAGGGGTTCATGTACACGTCGAAATGTCTTCCTCGAAGCGTCAGATGTTGTCGTATATTGCAAGGGGGTGTACCTCTGAGTGGTTACGGTTTTGAATCACGAATCAAGTAAATCAAGCGTTTCAACCGAACCATTGAAACATTGCACTCGAGGAAACACGGTATTCTCGTTATTGTGATAGTAACCGACAATCTGCTTACGAGATTTCAACAGATCCGTCATTATTCGAGAAATCCGGTTTTACACTCTGACGAATCTATTCGAGAAATTCCGACCACACACATCCTCGACAAATATTATTACGAGATTCTTAATGACATACCGCATGTCGGTGAAAAAATTTCTGTCTCACAGCCACTTGCCTTTAAAAACCGCAATTTAATTTTTACCATGTCAATCACAGCTAATGACGATACCAGATACCAATAAATCGGAAAACAAATTGACTAATTACAAATTAATTAGAAAAACGTGAATTATTATTTGATTTTTCCATAAATAGTAGAGTAGTAATGACGGCAGAAATTCATTCTCAACACCGGTGAAGAATTCCGATATAATTTAAACGATAAAAATTCTGGAAGCACGTCTAGTGATATAAATTGGCGCAAATCTAGAGCTACTTGTCCCCACAGTACGGAAGAGCCAATAATCCCTGGAATGATTCTCAAGAGAGTGTACAGAATCGTCGAATGGAACTTCAAAGGGAAACCTCGATTGCCGACCAATAATCGAAGGAATTCCCATCCCTCAGGTCAGCCGACTCCTTTTGTCCAACTCTTCTTATTTCCTATCGCCGACCTTGTGTTCCTCAAACCCCCTCCAACCCTTCATTCCATTTCATTTTCTTTGTTCATCCCCCTCAATTCTGATATACCCTATAACTAACGTTTCACCGAGTCTTATCGAAGGTCTTCCTGGTCATCCCCTCTCCGGACACTCCTCTTCTTATCCCTAACCCCAAAAACCCTTTTACCACTAGCCGGATATCCCATGAGGCATTTTCTACTTTATAATGCAGCCTCATCCGAGTCTGTATGTGTGTGTGTGTGTGTGTTTTCCTCGTCTCCCGATCCTCTTCTCCCTGAGGCACACGAGATTACTTTAACGAAATCGATCCCCATACTATCGTAGTGCTAGACCCAGTCAAACCCACCTACCATTGGATCACTTATCGTTAGGAATCTAGTGGATAAAATTGTAAAGAATGACGATTCAACCTTGGGGAAATATCCGGTGGCGTAATTGCATTTTACAGTACTTACAAATTGAGAGTTTATGACGGGCTTTTC